AGAAAATTTTTTAGTAATTTCCAAACATATCTAGGGATTTTGAAACGATTTCCAAATAGTTTTATATATTACTAGGTATTTCTAAAAATTTTTAAAGATTTTTTGAGTGTATCCAAGATTTTTGATTGATTGTTAGAAATATTGGAAGGATTTCCAAGGTTATCCCGGGATAATTACGAATGCTGAGGATTTTTAATTGTTCCCAGACACTTATGTAGGCATTTCTTAGTATTTCTAGGAAATTTCCAAAAGCTTTCAACGAACTTTCAAGTATACCATAAAAATTTCTCAGAATACCTAAGGTTATCTAGGGTTTTGCAGAGATTTCTACAGAATTTCAAGTTTTTAGAAGATTTTACAGAAATTTCCAAACATATCTAGTGATTTTGAAACGATTTTTAAAAATTTGTATATACAACTAGGTATTTCTAAAAATTTTAAGGAATTTAGACACATTTTCAAAGCTATCCATCGATTTTTACGGATATCTTAGGAGTTTTGAGTGTATCCAAGGTTTTTGAATGATTTTTTAGAACAATTAGAAGGATTTCCAATGATATCCAGGCATTATTACGAATGCTGAGGATTTTTAATAATTCCCAGACACTTATGTAGGTATTTCTTAGTATTTCTAGGAAATTTCCAAAAGCTTTCAACGAACTTTCAAGTATACCATAAAAATTTCTTAGAATACCTAATGTAACTAGGATTTTGCAGAGATTTCTACAGAATTTCAAGTTTTTAGAAGATTTTTTTAGGAATTTCCAAACATATCCAGGGATTTTGAAACGATTTCCAATAATCTTCATAGTCAACTGGGTATTTCTAAAAATTTTAAAGAATTTAAACACATTTTTAAAGATATCCATCGATTTTACGGATATCTAAACATTTTTGAGTGTATCCAAGGTTTTTGATTGATTTTTAGCAAAATTGGAATGATTTCCAAGGATATACAGGGATTATTTCGAATGCCGAGGATTTTTAATTCTTCCCAGACACTTACGTAGGCATTTTTTACTATTTCTAGGAAATTTCCAAAAGATTTCAACGCATTTTCAAGTATACCATAAAAATTTCTCAGAATACCTAAGGTTATCTAGCATTTTGCAGAGATTTCTACAGAATTTCAAGTTTTTAGAAGATTTTATAAGAATTTCCAAACATATCTAGGGATTTTGAAACGATTTCCAATAATTTTCATAGTCAACTGGGTATTTCTAAAAATTTTAAGGAATTTAGACACAGTTTTAACGATATCCATCGATTTTATGGATATCTAAAGATTTTTTAGTGTATCCAAGGTTTTTGATCGATTTTTAGAAAAATCGGAAGGATTTCCACGGATATCCAGGGATTATTTCGAATGCCGAGGATTTTTAATTCTTTTTGGATACTTATGTAGGCATTTCTTAGTATTTCTAGGAAATTTCCAAAAGATTTCAAATCATTTTCAAGTATACCATAAAAATTTCTCAGAATACCTAAGGTTATTTAGGATTTTGCGGAGATTTCTACAGAATTTCAAGTTTTTAGAGGATATTATAGGAATTTCCAAATATATCTAGGGATTTTTGAAACGATTTCTAATAATTTTCATAGTCAACTGGGTATTTCTAAAAATGTTCAAGAATTTAGACACATTTTTAAAGACATCCATCGATTTTACGGATATCTAAAGATTTTTGAGTGTATCCAAGGTTTTTGATTGATTTTTAGAAAAATTGGAACGATTTCCAAGGATATACAGGGATTATTTCGAATGCCGAGGATTTTTAATTCTTCCCAGACACTTATGTAGGCATTTTTTACTATTTCTAGGAAATTTGCAAAAGATTTCAACGCATTTTCAAGTATACCATAAAAATTTATCAGAATACCTAAGATTATCTAGAATTTTGCAGAGATTTCTACAGAATTTCAAGTTTTTAGAAGATTTTATAGGAATTTCCAAACATATCTAGGGATTTTGAAACGATTTCCAATAATTTTCATAGTCAACTGGGTATTTCTAAAAATTTTAAGGAATTTAGAGATATTTTTAAAGATATCCATCGATTTTACGGATATCTAAAGATTTTTGAGTGTATCCAAAGTTTTTGATTGATTTTTAGAAAAATTGGAATGATTTCCAAGGATATACAGGGATTATTTCGAATGCCGAGGATTTTTAATTCTTCCCAGACACTTATGTAGGCATTTCGTAGTATTTCTATGAAATTTCCAAAAAATTTCAACGCATTTTCAAGTATACCATAAAAATTTCTCAGAATACCTAAGGTTATCTAGGATTTTGCAGAGATTTCTACAGAATTTCAAGTTTTTAGAAGATTTTATAGGAATTTCCAAACATATCTAGGGATTTTGAAACGATTTCCAATAATTTTCATAGTCGACTGGGTATTTCTAAACATTTTAAGGAGTTTAGACACATTTTTAAAGATATCCATCGATTTTACGGATATCTAAAGATTTTTGAGTGTATCCAAAGTTTTTGATTAATTTTTAGAAAAATCGGAAGGATTTCCAAGGATATCCAGGGATTATTTCGAATGCCGAGGATTTTTAATTCTTCCCAGACACTTATGTAGGCATTTCTTAGTATTTCTAGGAAATTTCCAAAAGATTTCAACGCATTTACAAGTATACCATAAACATTCCTCAGAATACCTAAGGTTATCTAGGATTTTGCAGAGATTTCTACAGAATTTCAAGTTTTTAGAAGATTTTATAGGAATTTCCAAACATATCTAGGGATTTTGAAACGATTTCCAATAATTTTCATAGTCAACTGGGTATTTCTAAAAATTTTAAGCAATTTAGATAGATTTTCAAAGATATTCATCGGTCTTTACAGATATCTTAGGATTTTTTTTGGTATATCCAAGGTTTTAGAATGATTTTTTAGAAAAATTAGCAGGTTTTCTAAGGATATCTAGGGGTTATTACGAATGTCCACGATTTTAGTTATTCCCAAAGATTTAGTACAAGATACAAGTATTTCCAGAAGATTACAACTGATATTTTAAGCATACCATCAAGATTTCATATCATTCCTAAGATTATCTAGGATTTTGAAGAAAACATTAAAAAATTGTTATTTTACTTACTATTAAAAGTACTGGAAGTAGNATATTTTTAAAGACATCCATCGATTTTACGGATATCTAAAGATTTTTGAGTGTATCCAAGGTTTTTGATTGATTTTTAGAAAAATCGGAAGGATTTCCAAGGATATCCTGGAATGATTTCGAATGCCGAGGATTTTTAATTCCTCCCAGACACTTATGTAGGCATTTCTTAGTATTTCTAGAAAATTTACAAAAGATTTCAACGGATTTTCAAGTATACCATAAAAATTTATCAGAATACCTAAGGTTATCTAGAATTTTGCAGAGATCTTTACAGAATTTCAAGTTTTTAGAAGATTTTATAGGAATTTCCAAGCATCTCTAGGGATTTTGAAACGATTTCCAAAAATTTTCATAATCGACTGAGTATTTCTAAAAATTTTAAGCAATTTAGATAGATTTTCAAAGATATTCATCGGTCTTTACAGATATCTTAGGATTTTTTTTGGTATATCCAAGGTTTTAGAATGATTTTTTAGAAAAATTAGAAGGTTTTCTAAGGATATCTAGGGGTTATTACGAATGTCCACGATTTTAGTTATTCCCAAAGATTTAGTACAAGATACAAGTATTTCCAGAAGATTACAACTGATATTTTAAGCATACCATCAAGATTTCATAGCATTCCTAAGATTATCTAGGATTTTGAAGAAAACATTAAAAAATTGTTATTTTACTTACTATTAAAAGTACTGGAAGTAGATTATTATTCATTGTTCTTGAAGTACTTCTTATGTCAAACAAATAATTAGTATTCAGTACATTTTAAGCTAAATACTGAAAGTACAAGTATTAAGTACCTACAATTTGAAAGTACTGGCAGTAAACTACTTAAAGTAAAAAAGTACTGAATACTTTACTTCCAGTACATTTTTACTGTAATATCGAAAACTTTAATGTTTTAAAAAATCGTATTAAATTAATTCGTTAACGAATCTTAATGAAATTATAAGAATAGATAAAAGAAAGCGTATTCTTTCTAATGGTGTGATAACCGCATTCATAAATAACTTTTAGTTCTTGAGATAATAAATTTTGAACTGAATCATGTTTTTTTTNAATCGTTTAAAAAATTGTATTAAATTAATTCGTTAACGAATCTTAATGAATCTAATGGTGATAACCGCATTCATAAATAACTTTTAGTTCTTGAGATAATAAATTTTGAACTGAATCATGTTTTTTTTAATAGTATTCCTGAATTATAATAATTCAATTATTTATAATTTGGATTACATCACTATACTTAATTGTGCACATACAGAATTTATTTTCGAAATTTAAATTTGATCTTCATTAACATTTAAATTTATTACTTCAAAAATAAATTGATAGCTAAAACCAAACATAAAAGTTAAAACTCTAAACGAAAATAATCTTGTTGGAAATAAAAACATCACGTCTTACGGGATAATTTCCTTTAACTAAACAAAATCTAAAACAACCTTTCACAAGAATTCAATGCATCTCAATTCAACACCAGATTTATGTTACTTTTAACGTTTATTATTTTATAGCAATTTATATCATATATGTTTTTAGCAATAATATTTTGATATCACAGTTCCTTCTTTTAAATCAATACAAGACATATTCTAACAATTATTTAATGCACTACAAGTTTTTAGTGAAGCTTATGACAGTGAAAAAATAGAGATCAACTTCTACATACACATGTTAGCGATAAAATTACCTCGATTAAAAATAACATTTTTTTAATTAACTTTAACAGATTAAAAAAATGTTATTTTTATAACCATACCTTTCGCTTGTTAAAAAAAGAAACAGAAAAATGTTAATATCCTCACACATCACAAATAATAGAAAAAAACACCTTCAATACATTTACTTAAGTATACACATTTTTTTTATGATTTTATTTATACTTTACTTACCTCCTTCGTCTTCTGAATCCGACATAAACGTTTCCTGCATACCTTCGGGGGCAACCACTTTGTATTTCTCCTCGATGTTAATGGTGGTTGTGGTGATGATATCCAATTCAGTAACCACCTTTAATTCTTCAACAACACTAATATATCCAAGTTTATTTGCGATTCCAAGAGCCGTTTGTCCATTCTAACCAATAAGAACAAAAATAAGAATGGTAAAGAGTAAACTCAGGTTGATTATCAACTGCCAAGGTTATTACAACATTCAATAAACTTGCCAAACTGATAAAAAACATTATCACGTAGTGTTTGTCTTTGATAACGTATCGAGAACGGGATATATTAGTTTAGAAGCACTTGATACATAAAATTTTTAACAACAAAAGCAATTAATTATTAATCAAAAAGTCTTTTTACTCACGTATGTAACAACATTGGGATTTGCTTTATTCTTCAATAACAAATTAATAACGAGTACGTGTCCCTGTTGGGCCGCTTGATGAAGAGGCGTGTACCCCGATTGAGTAACAGGGTTCACTTCAGCTCCTTGTTCAATTAACAATCGGACCATATTGACGTGTCCCTGATGACAAGCGATGTGAAGAGGTGTATAACCAGATTTCGTTCTAGAATCTTTTAGGGCTCCAGCTCGAAGCAGCAACTGAGCGACCGGAACTCTATCTTCTTGGGCGCAAAGATGGAGTGGTGTCAGACCATTCTGAAAGGAAACCACGGAATGAATAAAAACTAGCTACTTAGGAATTTTTATCGAATTTTTTCGATTAAAAATAGTTTCGTGGATTCGTAACATTCATTATCTCGGTTATGAGTTATGAGTAAAGTTAATTATTGGAAATTAAAAATTATTGCTAAAATTAAAAAAAAAGATACCAATTTTGAATGGGTTTTGAAGAATTTTCGGAATAGATTTTTTAAGTGGTCGAGGCGAGTTTCAAATACAAACTAAAAACCCGAAACTCTACGACGGGTTCATGATTATTTCTTATTGATCAGTTCGTACCAGTCTCGTAAAGTTTTGAATTTATTAAAAGATCCACGCGATATTTATCTGAGATGCGTGATTTGAGATCTTAATTAACAAAATTGACAATTAATTCTTTGTTTCATGTTCTTGTTTCATATTATAAGAAATTCGGAGAAAAACTTAAATATTATCAAATTTGAGTCAAGTTAAAAATGTCATCTTGTTTTATTTTATTATTCATTATCTTGTATTATGTAAAATGGGGTTGCAAATGGGATTTACACCATAGGAGTTGAAAATTAAAAATTGTTTTCGAAATTGAGCCTANGAGAAAAACTTAAATATTATCAAATTTGAGTCAAGTTAAAAATGTCATCTTGTTTTATTTTATTATTCATTATCTTGTATTATGTAAAATGGGGTTGCAAATGGGATTTACACCATAGGAGTTGAAAATTAAAAATTGTTTTCGAAATTGAGCCTATCATATATGATCTGGAAAATTCTGACATCGATAATAACAATGCAGATTTGATGATATACTTTGGAGTTAGATTGCATTGCGATTTAATTGCACTGGAGTTTCATTGACTAGCTTTAGGGTTAGCTTACCTTGTGGTTAAGTTGCTTTAAGGTTTGCTTTCTTTTGGGTTGAATTTTGATTTGGAATTCTTGATTAAGATTTAGGTTGGGTTGCTATAGAATTGGGTTAATTTGTTTTGGGGTTACCTTAAAGTAAGGTTTAATGTTGACTAAGATTTGTGGCAAACTTGAATCATAATATTGACTTTGATATTAGATAAGCTAGAAGAATTTGCTTGTTTTGGATTTGCATTGCTTTGGGGTTTGATTTTCTTTGGAGTTGGGTTTTTATTGTTTTCGAAATTGAGTCAATCATATATGATCTGAAAAATTCTGACATCGATAATAACAATGCAGATTTGATTGTATACTTTGGAGTTGGATTGCATTGCGATTTAATTGCACTGGAGTTTCATTGGCTAGCTTTAGAGTTGGGTTCCTTATGGCTAAGTTGCTTTAAGGTTTGCTTTCTTTTGGGTTGAATTTTAATTGGGTTAATTTGTTTTTGAGTTACCTCAAAGTATGGTTTAACGTTGGCTTAGATTTGTGGCAAACTTGAATCATAATATTGACTTTGATATTAGATTAGCTGGAAGAGTTTGCTTGTTTTGGATGTACATTGCTTTGGGGTTTGATTTTCTTTGGAGTTGGGTTTTTTCGAACAGAGTTCTTAAGTTTGTGGCAAAAAGGTTGGATTGCTTTCAAGTTGCCTTACTTTAGTGATGGGTTAAATGTTTCAGATTAACAAAAAACAAAGAAAAAGCTGCCAGGATACCAGAAAACATCGCCAGAGTGGCAGAAGTAATCACCAAGGGCCCTAGTCTATCTTCGCTGTATGTATCCAAGTGTTGTTTGAAGAAAACCCGAATGCAGTAGTGATACTGAAAACTTTCGCTATTGGACCTAGCATATTCACGAAAACCTCTCTATACTGGCCGTGTTTAAAGAGTTAGGTTGCTATGAGGTTGAGTTACTTCAGTGATGTAATCAATTCTGGGTTGAATTGCTGTCACGTTTATTGCCATTGTAGTTTGATCACTTTGGATCACTTAAGGTTTGATTGATTTGTTTTAAAGTTAGGTTGGATTGCTTTCTGTTATTTTTAAGACGAGTTCTTAAATTTGTAGCAAAAAGGTTGGGTTGCTTTCAGGTTGCTTTACTTTAATGATGGGTTAAATGTTTCAGATTAACAAAAAAACAAAGAAAAAGCTGCCAGGATACCAGAAAACATCGCCAGAGTGGCAGAAGGAATCACCAAGAGCCCCAGTCCATCTTCGCTATGCGTATCCAAGTGTTGTTTGAAGAAAACCCAAATGCAGTACTGATACTGAAAACTTTCGCTATTGGACCTAGCATATTCACGAAAAACCTCTCTATATTGGGCGTGTTTAAAGAATTAGGTTGCTATGAGGTTGACTTACTTCAGTGATGTGATCAATTCTGGGTTGAGTTGCTGTTACGTTTACTGGCATTGTAGTTTGATCACTTTGGATCACTTAAGGTTGGATTGATTTGTTTTGAAGTTAGGTTGGATTGATTTCTTTTATTTTTAAGAAGAATTCTGAATTTTGTGGCAAAAAGGTTGAGTTGCTTTCAAATTGCTTTACTTTAGTGATGGGTTAAACCCTTCAGATTAACAGAAAACAAAGAAAAAGCTGCCAAGACATCAGAAAACATCGCCAGAGTGGCAGAAGGAATTACAAAAAGCCCCAGTCCATCTTCGCTGTGCGTGTCCAAGTGTTGTTTGAAAAAAACCCGAATGCAATATTGATACTGAAAACTTTCGCTATTGGACCTAGCATATTCACGAAAAACCTCTCTATACTGGGCGTGTTTAAAGAATTAGGTTGCTATGAGGTTGACTTACTTCAGTGATGTGATCAATTCTGGGTTGAGTTGCTGTTACGTTTACTGGCATTGTAGTTTGATCACTTTGGATCACTTAAGGTTGGATTGATTTGTTTTGAGGGTAGGTTGGATTGATTTCCTTTATTTTTAAGAAGAGTTCTGAATTTTGTGGCAAAAAGGTTGAGTTGCTTTCAAATTGCTTTACTTTAGTGATGGGTTAAACGTTTCAGAATAACAAAAAACAAAGAAAAAGGTGCCAAGACACCAGAAAACATCGCCAGAGTGGCAGAAGGAATTAAAAAGAGCCCCAGTCCATCTTCGCTGTGCGTGTCCAAGTGTTGTTTGAAAAAAACCCGAATGCAATATTGATACTGAAAACTTTCGCTATTGGACCTTGCATATTCACGAAAAACCTCTCTATATTGGGCGTGTTTAAAGAATTAGGTTGCTATGAGGTTGACTTACTTCAGTGATGTAATCAACTCTGGGTTGAGTTGCTGTTACGTTTACTGGCATTGTAATTTGATCACTTTGGATCACTTACGGTTGGATTGATTTGTTTTGAAGTTAGGATGGATTGATTTCTTTTATTTTTAAGAAGAGTTCTGAATTTTGTGACAAAAAGGTTGAGTTGCTTTCAAATTGCTTTTCTTTAGTGATGGGTTAAACCCTTCAGATTAACNATAAATTGATAGCTAAAACCAAACATAAAAGTTAAAACTCTAAACGAAAATAATCTTGTTGGAAATAAAAACATCACGTCTTACGGGATAATTTCCTTTAACTAAACAAAATCTAAAACAACCTTTCACAAGAATTCAATGCATCTCAATTCAACACCAGATTTATGTTACTTTTAACGTTTATTATTTTATAGCAATTTATATCATATATGTTTTTAGCAATAATATTTTGATATCACAGTTCCTTCTTTTAAATCAATACAAGACATATTCTAACAATTATTTAATGCACTACAAGTTTTTAGTGAAGCTTATGACAGTGAAAAAATAGAGATCAACTTCTACATACACATGTTAGCGATAAAATTACCTCGATTAAAAATAACATTTTTTTAATTAAATTTAACAGATTAAAAAAATGTTATTTTTATAACCATACCTTTCGCTTGTTAAAAAAAGAAACAGAAAAATGTTAATATCCTCACACATCACAAATAATAGAAAAAAACACCTTCAATACATTTACTTAAGTATACACATTTTTTTTATGATTTTATTTATACTTTACTTACCTCCTTCGTCTTCTGAATCCGACATAAACGTTTCCTGCATACCTTCGGGGGCAACCACTTTGTATTTCTCCTCGATGTTAATGGTGGTTGTGGTGATGATATCCAATTCAGTAACCACCTTTAATTCTTCAACAACACTAATATATCCAAGTTTATTTGCGATTCCAAGAGCCGTTTGTCCATTCTAACCAATAAGAACAAAAATAAGAATGGTAAAGAGTAAACTCAGGTTGATTATCAACTGCCAAGGTTATTACAACATTCAATAAACTTGCCAAACTGATAAAAAACATTATCACGTAGTGTTTGTCTTTGATAACGTATCGAGAACGGGATATATTAGTTTAGAAGCACTTGATACATAAAATTTTTAACAACAAAAGCAATTAATTATTAATCAAAAAATCTTTTTACTCACGTATGTAACAACATTGGGATTTGCTTTATTCTTCAATAACAAATTAATAACGAGTACGTGTCCCTGTTGGGCCGCTTGATGAAGAGGCGTGTACCCCGATTGAGTAACAGGGTTCACTTCAGCTCCTTGTTCAATTAACAATCGGACCATATTGACGTGTCCCTGATGACAAGCGATGTGAAGAGGTGTATAACCAGATTTCGTTCTAGAATCTTTTAGGGCTCCAGCTCGAAGCAGCAACTGAGCGACCGGAACTCTATCTTCTTGGGCGCAAAGATGGAGTGGTGTCAGACCATTCTGAAAGGAAACCACGGAATGAATAAAAACTAGCTACTTAGGAATTTTTATCGAATTTTTTCGATTAAAAATAGTTTCGTGGATTCGTAACATTCATTATCTCGGTTATGAGTTATGAGTAAAGTTAATTATTGGAAATTAAAAATTATTGCTAAAATTAAAAAAAAAGATACCAATTTTGAATGGGTTTTGAAGAATTTTCGGAATAGATTTTTTAAGTGGTCGAGGCGAGTTTCAAATACAAACTAAAAACCCGAAACTCTACGACGGGTTCATGATTATTTCTTATTGATCAGTTCGTACCAGTCTCGTAAAGTTTTGAATTTATTAAAAGATCCACGCGATATTTATCTGAGATGCGTGATTTGAGATCTTAATTAACAAAATTGACAATTAATTCTTTGTTTCATGTTCTTGTTTCATATTATAAGAAATTCGGAGAAAAACTTAAATATTATCAAATTTGAGTCAAGTTAAAAATGTCATCTTGTTTTATTTTATTATTCATTATCTTGTATTATGTAAAATGGGGTTGCAAATGGGATTTACACCATAGGAGTTGAAAATTAAAAATTGTTTTCGAAATTGAGTCAATCATATATGATCTGGAAAATTCTGACATCGATAATAACAATGCAGATTTGATGGTATACTTTGGAGTTGGATTGCATTGCGATTTAATTGCACTGGAGTTTCATTGACTAGCTTTAGGGTTTTTCTTTTGGGTTGAATTTTAATTTGGAATTCTTGATTAAGATTTAGGTTGGGTTACAATAGAATTGGGTTAATTTGTTTTGGGGTTACCTCAAAGTAAGGTTTAATGTTGGCTTAGATTTGTGGCAATCTTGAATCATAATATTGACTTTGATATTAGATAAGCTGGAAGAGTTTGCTTGTTTTGGATTTGCATTGCTTTGGGGTTTGATTTTCTTTGGAGTTGAGTTTTTTTTCGAACAGAATTCTTAAATTTGTGGCAAAAAGGTTGGGTTGCTTTCAAGTTGCCTTACTTTAGTGATGGGTTAAATGTTTCAGACTAACAAAAAACAAAGAAAAAGCTGCCAGGATACCAGAAAACATCGCCAGAGTGGCAGAAGTAACCACCATTTTCGCAACCCAAGTATTGTTTGAAGAAAACCCGAATGCAGTAGTGATACTGAAAACTTTCTGTTATTTTTAAGACGAGTTCTTAAATTTGTGGCAAAAAGGTTGGGTTGCTTTCAGGTTGCTTTACTTTAATGATGACTTTAAGTGATCAAACTACACTTTGGATCACTTAAGGTTGGATTGATTTGTTTTAAAGTTAGGTTGGATTGCTTTCTGTTATTTTTAAGACGAGTTCTTAAATTTGTGGCAAAAAGGTTGGGTTGCTTTCAGGTTGCTTTACTTTAATGATGGGTTAAATGTTTCAGATTAACAAAAAATAATTAAAAAGCTGCCAGGACACCAGAAAACATCGCCAGAGTGACTGAAGTAATCACCAAGAGCTCCAGTCCATCGTCGCTGTGCGTATCCAAGTATTGTTTGAAGAAAACCCGAATGCAGTAGTAATACTGAAAACTTTTGCTATTGGACCTAGCATATTCACGAAAACCCTCTCTATACTGGGCGTGTTTAAAGAGTTAGGTTGCTATCAGGTTGACTTACTTCAGTGATGTAATCAACTCTGGGTTGAGTTGCTGTTACGTTTACTGGCATTGTAATTTGATCACTTTGGATCACTTACGGTTGGATTGATTTGTTTTGAAGTTAGGATGGATTGATTTCTTTTATTTTTAAGAAGAGTTCTGAATTTTGTGACAAAAAGGTTGAGTTGCTTTCAAATTGCTTTTCTTTAGTGATGGGTTAAACCCTTCAGATTAACAGAAAACAAAGAAAAAGCTGCCAGGACACCAAATAACATCGCCAGAGTGGCTGAAGTAATCACCAAGAGCTCCAATCCATCTTTGCTGTGCGTATCCAAGTGTTGTTTGAAAAAAACGCGAATGCAATATTGATACTGAAATCTTTCGCTATTGGACCTTGCATATTCATGAAAAATCTCTCTATATTGGGCGTGTTTAAAAAATTAGGTTGCTATGATGTTGACTTTCTTCAGTGATGTAATCAATTCTGAGTTGAGTTGCTGTTGCGTTTACTGGCATTGTAGTTTGATCACTTTGGATCACTTAAGGTTGGATTAATTTGTTTTAAAGTTAGGTTGGATTGATTTATTTTATTTTCAAGAAGAGTTCTGAAATTTGTGGCAAAAAGGTTGAGTTGCTTTCAAGTTGCTTTACTTTAGTGTTGGGTTAAACGTTTCAGATTAACAGAAACCAAAGAAAAAGATGTCAGGACAGTCAGAAAACATCACCAGAGTGGCAGAAGTAATCACCAAGAGCTCCAATCCATCTTCGCTGTGCGTACAATAATAATAATATATGTTTATTGATGATGCCACAAAGAATTTACAAGCCCAAAAAAAAATACAAAAGTGTATATAAAAGTAAATAAAATAATAAACACTCTGAAATTATCAACAAAACCGGACTTAATAACAGCGCATTATCAAAAAGAGCCGAGTCAATGCAGACATAGCTTGTCTCCTATTGTTTTTCATCGGCCCTTTTATAATAGAAATAATAAATAAATTGGTTTCAAACAAGATAGCACTAACTATAACTAGCCTAAATTAGTTAGCAATGAAAAATAACAATAATAAGGAATAATAAAAAAAATACAACAAAACTAAAGAAAAAAACATAGCAAAATGAAGAAAAGGTTGAACAAGCTGCCGCGAATAATCTCCCCCTGTCCTGTTAGGTCATACAATTCAGAACTTAAATTAATAAGAACTTAAATTTAAAATTTAAATTTAAATGCTGTTCTGCTCAATCAAAAGAATTTTTTTATAATATGACTTAAAACTTTGCTCACTCAGCTGCTTGATTGAATCAGGAATGCTATTCATAATGAATATGGGCAGAACAAGAGCTTCACATAATTGGATTTTCAAACGTTGGTTAAGTAAGCTCCTGTTACTGTACAATGATTTAAGCGTCACGTAGGCTCTGCGAATTAGTGAAGAAACATGGCCACGGAATCGGAGTGCGGTATCATGACGTATACCCAAATTGCAGCACTCGTCCGCAAAATTCAATTTAACACCACCCATTCCGATATTTAGAGATCCCTTAATCCTGTTCACCACACCACCACTCCTAAATACCATAACTGCTGATTTAGACGGATTAATAATCGAACAATGATTTGAAGCTTCGTGGGCCAATTTGTCTAAATCAGAATTGATAGCTCTTTCAGCCTTATCAATGTCATTCTCATGAATGAGTAATAGACCTGAGTATCTTCAGCATACATGTGAGCAGTGCAATAGTCTAGTACTTTTGGTAAAGCAACCATATAAATTAGAGCAGAGGGCCAAAAATTGGACCCTGCGGCACGCCTGAGGACACCACTGCTGCTGAAGATTCGTTTCCATGAAGCTTAACAGTTTGTGACCGATTCAGGAGGTAACCAGTAAAAAACTTTATGGCACCCTTCGAAAGGCCAATATGGTGGAGTATTGCTAAGAAAGTGGGGTGGTGAATTGCATTGTAGTTTGATCACTTTAGGCTGGATTGGTTTGCTATAAGGTTGGATTGATTTGGAGTTGGTTTAGCTTGCTTCTACCATACGTGTCTTGTTTAGATTACATTTGGATTTGCTTTACTTTAAGGACTTGATTGCCTCGTTTTGAGGTTTGCTGGAATTACAGCTGATTCATGTTGTGGTTGAGGCCGTTTGAGTTAAAACGTCTTACAGTTAAACAGTTATTTTGGGCTAGATTGGTTTGCTGTAAGGTTGGATTGATCTGTTTTGAGGTTACTTTGGATTGATTTAAAAGTGGTTTAGCTTGCTTTGTGATTGAGTTTATAAAGCAATTCTTCCATACGTGTCTCGCATTCACTTTCACCCAACGTTATAGGTTGGGTTATTTTGTAACTGAGTTTTTAACATTGTGGCTAAATGGTTTGGTTGCATTGAGGTTGACTGATTTAAATGTTGAGTTCCTTTGCAGCAAAGTTGCTTTGAGGCTTTCAAATCAAAAAATCAAAATCAAAAAGCAAGCTTTGAAATTGAAATACTTTGTGATTAAGTTCCTTTGGAGTTGAGTTGGGTTGCGTTAGCTTTAGGACTAAGACTGAACAAGTCATTACAACTTGTTTTACAGATTACATAATTAAAGCATCAGTCAGCAGAAATCTAACAGCATCTAAACCAGAGAACTAAAAGAAACCACAGATATAAACGGGATCAAGAACCAATCTGTAAAAGATTCAAGCTTCTGTTATAAGATACTCTGCATAAAAGATGGCAGCAATTATTTCTTGCAACCATCAATAATCTACAAACTTGGTGGAAACAATAACCACACAACCTAACAAACTTGCTATCAATAAAATTATTAAGTATTAACCATGTCTAAAAGTGAAATGTAAAAAAGACTAATGCAAATGACGAATCATGGTGATAATTACCTTTGCTTCCCGATTTGGACCAGCTTGATGTTCCAAAAGTAACGAGGACATATCCGAATGACCCTCTTGACAACTAAGATGTAAAGGAGTAAATCCAGCTTTCGATTCTGCATCAGCTTTTGCTCCATACTCTAACAAAGTTGTTGCAATATCCATCTAAAATTAAAAAAAAAATCAAAACCATTACCTATAAAAATCATAATAATATTTTTACTTGATTCTTTTTAGCTGCAATATGTAAAGGAGTATGCCCATTCTTAGCGATTGCATGAGGTGAAGCCCCTTTATCCAAAAGTAACAACGCAACAGGTTGATGATCATAATGAGCCGCAACGTGCAAAGGAGTTACGCCATTTTTGCCCTGAGCATCAGCGGGGGCATCTCGTTGTAAAAGCAATCTAGCTACGTTTAAATGTCCGTATTTAGCTGCTAAATGAAGAGGTGTTAATCCTTTCTTGGTGGTCGCTGTCAAATCTGCGCCGTGATCTAATAAAACGGAGGCAACCTCTTCTTGACCTTCTTTAGCTGCTATATGTAGTGGCGTGTACAAATCTTTCGTGGTGGCATGCGGTTGGGCTCCGTGCTGAAGGAGTAACATCACGATATCAACGTTTCCAAGTCGACTAGCGACGTGAAGAGGCGTTTGTTCTTCTCGTGCTCTAGCATCTACCACCGCTCCGTTACGAAGAAGAATTCTTATGATGTCCGTTTGATTCGCCCTTGCGGCTAAATGTAAAGGAGTTTCACCCCTTACGGTTGGAATATCTGGACTGGCGTCGTGTTGAAGTAAAAAAATAACGATGTTCATGCACCCCATAAAACTGGCTACGTGTAGAGGAGTTAATCCGCTTTCGGTGGTCGCCGATATACTCGCTCCGTGTTTTAATAGTAACTCAACCATTTTATTGCGACTTTTTTTACACGCTATATGAAGCGGGGTAAATCCGTTTAGGGCACGTGCGTTCGGATCCGCTCCACGTTCTAAAAGAAGTTTTGCAACTCTCACGTGGCCGCAATGAGCCGCTACGTGAAGAGCTGTTAAATAATCCATGGTTACTTCATCCACTGGGGCACCGTGAAAAAGAAGAATTCTTGCTGCGTCGACGTGTTCACCTTGAGCTGCCATATGAAGAGGAGCTAACCCATTCTAAACAATAAAAAGTGATCAATAAAATATTTAAGATTTTAAATTTAGTAATATTTAAATTTACTTTTGTTTTTGCATGCATTGGAGCTCCGTTTTCTAATAACATATCAACCACTTGATCGTGACCGGATCTTGCTGCACAATGTAACGGGGTTAAACCGTCTCTAGTTTTTGCTTGGATGTCGGCTCCTTTAGCTACCAATAAAGTGACCATATTCATTTTTCCCCATTTACTAGCGACGTGTAACGGCGTTATATTATGTTTTGCCGAATAGTTAACATCTGCCCCCTTTTCATATAACAACGATGCGACTTTATCGTTACCATAATGAGCCGCGATATGCAAAGGCGTGAATCCGCTTTTCGACGTCACGTCCGGATTGTGATCGTTTTGAAGCAACAAAGACGCAGCTTTACAATCATCTTTTTTCGCTGCTATGTGAAGAGCCGGTAATTTAACTTTTCCTCGCGTATCGCTTTCCAATAAAACGGCCACCACTTTATCATGACCTTGTTGCATCGCAACAGCCAATGGTGTAAATCCATCCTAAAATTTGATTGTTAAAGAAAATGTTTTACGCGGATGTTGAACTTACTTCCGTTGCAAGACTTTGATTTGCTCCCTTTGAAAGCAAATATTTAACGCAGGAGTCATGGTTTTCTTGGGCAGCCATGTATAAAGGGGTAAAACCATTTTGGGATTGAACGTTAATGGAAGCACTGTGTTGTATTAATAATCTTACGATTTCTTCTTGGCCGGCTTAAAATTAATAAAAAGGTAATAAATGTATAGGGTAAACCACACATTGGACAACGATAGTTATATAGCCTATTTCAATAATAATTAAGCGTTCCACTTTACTTTTAATACTGCAAGAAGTTTCATGCTGCTCCATCTATCGTTAATAATAGATAAAGTAGAATGCTATTCAAAGTTGTAAACCTAATAGTCCGTTAAAAGAATCTGTAAACACGTCTCAAAACAACGGGTTTCTTAAGAAAGTGTTAAGAAAGATAAGAAACTATAACTAATAATAAAAAAAGCTGCTAATTGCCTGGACACCACGTAGAGGTAAGTTTCAAGTAGTTTTTTCGTCAATTGTTATTATATTATTCCTTTGTTATACATTTTTATGAAGTGTCCAATAATTACCACACATTTTTTACTATTTTTTGTTATTGGACAAGTGTCCAATAATAGAAAAGATTTTTATTCATGTTTACCAGTTATTTGACACGACCGTCCAATAATTATTCTTTGGTGTCCAATAACTATAATAGTATAAGTTTGTAAATATTAGATGCCAAAAAAGCGAACGTATGATATTGGTTTGATTGAAAAGGCTGTACAGGAAATAAAATCTGGACAGGAATATGGCATACCTAGGTCTACTATTCAATTCAAATTAAAAAATCCTGGCCATCGAGATACATTTGGACCCCCAACAATATTGACAGAACAAGAAGAAAACTGTCTAACAAAACGGATTCTAGATTTGGCTCAAAAGGGTTTTCCTCGAAAGAAAGAAGATATTTTGTTGTTAAACAAAATAGACTAGGTGATGGCTGGCTGAGAGCATTCTTGAGAAGACATCCCCAAATCACTGAAAGAATAACTGAAGGTGTAACTTCAGCCAGTGCATGCGTCAGCGAAACTAATATATGAAATTCGTTTGCAGATATTAACTCTAAAAACCCTACACGAGTTTATAATGGAGATGAAACGGGTTTCCAAATTTGTCCCCAAACAAGAAAAGTTTTTGCCCCAAAGGGATCAAGGAACGTTTATTCAATTGAACACGGTTCGTCTAAAGAGAACATTACCTTATGTTTACATTTTCGGCATCAGGCAAGACATGTTGCCCAATGATAGTATTTATCCTTACAAAAGCATACCCCAAAAGGTAGCAAACTCTATTGATCCATCTTGGGGAATTGGCTCATTTAATAGAAAATAATATTGAGTTACCGATTATTTTATTTATTGACGGCCATAAATCGCATATGACTTACGAACTCAGTGTTTTGTGTGCACGACTTCAAATAGAGACAATTACACTTTATCCCAATGCAACTATTATCCTGCAGCGACCAACGTTTCTGTTTTTGCACCACTTAAATCAGCTTGGAAAAATACAGTCCGTGATTGGTATACAATGCATTCAGGAGAAAATGTTAACAAAACAAATTTTGCCCCGCTCTTAAAGACTGCGATAACCACAGGAATAAAACCTGAAAATTTGATAAACAGTTTTAGGGCTTGTGGATTATACCCTTTCGACCCTAATGCTATTGACTTCAATGAATGCTTAGGAAAAGACGATATTAATGTGGATGAAGATAATAAAATGTTAACCTATAATGATTTTGTTAAAATTATTGGACATGAAAAAGTCCAAAGATTTGAGACAATTCATGAAATAACTGAAGGAAGTAGTGATGAAAGTTTTTGGAAGCTCTATCAAATATGGCAGCATTTTAAACAAAACCAACAAACACAACCAATAGAAGAGTCTACAGTTGTTGTTATTCACAACGAATTAACTACAAACTCAGGATCAAGTAGTGTCCAATATTCCCAAACAAGTAATATCAACGACAACCTGATTTATCTTGCCTCTGCACAACGAAAAGGCAAAAAACTAACTGAAAAATTACCCTTTGCTATCACTTCCCAAAAATACAGGAACATATTAAAAAAAAAGAGAGCTGCAGAAAAAAATGCAATCTAAAAAAGAAGAAAGAAAAAGAAAACGTGAAAAAAATAAGAAAGCAAAGTTAATAAAATCAAATCAAATTTGTTTTATTTGTAGAACGTTCAAAATTCTTTTTAATATGTGATGGCTGCAAACAATACTACCACAAGCGTTGTGTTCCAAGAATGCATAAACAGCACATTCCAGATAAAGAAACTGATGATTTATTTTTATGCCACATATGTTTCAAGCACGATGATAGTTCTGAAAATGAAGAAGTTATGGAAGATGGAGAAGTTACGGGAAATGAAGATACAGGAGATGAAGAAGAGGTCAAAATTGAATGAAGGAAAAAAAAATCGGAAAAGATGTCAGAGAAGGTACAGTAACCCCTCGATATAGCGAACACGCAAGGAGGAAAGCAAACCGTTCGTTATAATGAGATGTTCGTATTTGCGATATAACGAACTAATTCGTTATAATGAATGATAATGAGTAGGCTCTAGAGGTAGGCTTACGTAAACATATTAGCATCGACTGTGTAATAAGTTTAATGAAAATAATCACTTATTTTTTGCCTCAGAATGGGCATTGTTCGTCTTAGGCATTCCTCAGCAATTTTATTCAAAGAATTCATGAAATTTTCAGAAACATTCTCTTCTGAATCAGAAAATCTTGAAATTGTGATGTTAATAACTACATCGTTGGATAACTAATAATATTTGTGTTACCTTTGGATCGTATAGAGAGCGGCTAAAACTTCAGCTCGTAAGCGGCTTTTTGGTCTATATTCACTACTGCTAAGTCTATGTCTACTGCTTCTGTAGTCCTTATCGCACCATCAACTCTGACGTAATCTGTATCAGTTGAACTGACAAGGTTTGTTGATAATTTTCCCATTCTACATCAGCAAATTCAGGCTATCAATGAGTAAAGCATATAAGTAAAAAGCTACTGACGAGCTACATCACGAATCAATCGCTTGTAAAATATTCCATTTTGGCTGTTCTTGGTTTAATTCTATTGCCAAAATTGCTGCTATAACAAGTCGTCCATGATATCGTTTCTGCATAGCTGCAATTATGCCTTGATCAAGAATTTGCAGTGCACTTGTTGTGTTAACCGGAAAATAAACGACGTTAACATTGCGCAAATCAAATCCCATAACGTTATGTGCTGAACAATTGTCCATCGTTAACAACACTTTTCTGTATAGAGCTGCCATGTTGCATTGAAAACGAAGAAGCCATTCTCGAAGTGCTATAGAAGTTATCCAGACATTTTTCTGAACGGTATAATGGCATGGCAAATGGGAACGATCGAATTTATTTAAACATCTTGGGTTTTTTGATTTTCCTACTATCCATAGTTTTAATTTTTCACTTCCGTCAGCATTGCGGCATAAAACTGTTGTTATTCTTTCTTTGCTTTTAGTGCCCCCATAACATTTTTTGAATTTAAAATCCAAAGTACGGTTTGGCATTAGATTAAAAAAAATACCAGTCTCATCAATATTAAAACCATCTTGATTCATCTTGGCTTCAACCCGAAACATTCGCGAAGCAAGTAAGTCTGAGCTCGTTCACTGCCACAGTTAACCACTAAAAACTAGCTGGAATATGGTCTAGACTGAGTAGACAATTACGATAATAGTTTGCATTGAAATTATATTCTACGGGTGAAATAATTATTCGTAGTTCATTATAATGAAAAAAGTGCCATATAAATTGTGTTGAAGACATTTGTGGCATAATTTTGGTTCGCTATATAGAGGGTTTACTGTAGTAGGGCTCGGAATTTTACAAATTTAAATATTCGAATAGTCGTATAATTTTCAATTCGAATAGTCGAATAATGCGAATATTTATCAATATTCGACTAGTTAAATAGTTGTCGACTAGTCGAATAGTCGTCAAATAGTCGAATTTTTCAAATGTTCGGATAATTTGATTAACAAAACGTATACTCTAATTTTTCTAACAATTAAGAATATGTTTTTTCCTCGTTAAGTTAAAAATTAATTCAACATTAAAGAGAAAAAGAAAAATACCTATACCTATTAATATATTAAACTTGATTGACAACATTAACGTACTACGATACAAAAAGTTGATTTAAGCAAGCTCTATAAGTAAATATTTTCTGTATAAACAAAACAAGATGACATTAAAAAAAAGAATGGATCAAAATATTGTATCAAATGAAGTAAATTATTATTTTTTTATCGAATGTTCAAATAGTCGACTATTATTAGAATAGTCGACTATTCAAATATTCGACTTTTCGGCTAATAAATTATGAAAATTATTCGAATTTCGAANAAGAATGCATAAACTGCACATTCCAGATGAAGAAACTGATGATTTATTTTTATGCCACATATGTTTCAAGCACGATGATAGTTCTGAAAATGAAGAAGTTATGGAAGATGGAGAAGTTACGGGAAATGAAGATACAGGAGATGAAGAAGAGGTCAAGTTTTCAAGTAGTAACTAAATTGATTGAAGGAAAAAAAATTCGGAAAAGATATAAGAGAAGATATAGTCGAATAGTCGTCAACTAGTCGAATTTTTCAAATGTTCGGATAATTTGATTAAAAAAACGTATACAACTAATTTTTCTGAATTTCAGGAGAAACAAATAAACAATTAAGAATATATTTTTTCCTCCTTAAGTTAAAAATTAATTCAACATTAAAGAGAAAAAGAAAAATACCTATACCTATTAATATATTAAACGTGAATGAAAACATTAACGTACTACCATGGGCGTAGTCAGAATTTGGTCTAGGAGGGGGCGAATTAGAATTGACATCTTGGAGACTTGCATGGCCGGGGGAGGGGTGGGAGGCTTTCAAGAATTGAAGAATCGTTAAATTAAACAACACATACTTTATTTATAACATTAATCGCTTAGGATTTTCAGAAAATGTTTGTATGACTTCTAACTCTATCTCATTCTTTTTTTCCGACACAAGATTTTTATGCACACTAATTAAACATAGTCCATTTAAACGGTTTTCCCCCATTGTAGATCTTAACCATGTTTTGACACGTCTTAATGTGCTAAATGATCTTACTATTGTACTTGGGGAACAAGGCTGCGCTATTGAGATCATTAAAGCATTTTTTATGCCGGGAAAGAATATATTAGATTCTTTAATCACTTCAACCATTTCCAGATCTTTTAAGATCTGTCTATCAAGGTTTTTCTCAGCCCACACATGATTTAGTTTCAAACTGAAGCTCTTTCTTAAACGATGACGTTAAAGAGTCCAGGTATGGAATAAGTATCGTACGTTTCCAATACTCAGCAGGTGAATCTGCAGGAGTGTTTGAACGATGCTGCTGGTGTTTTACTATTCTGGATGGATGAAATTCTATTTGTATTTCCTCCGCAATCCTATTGGCAGAAGCAAAGAGATCTTTCATAATGGCATCCGTAGTTTGACGATGAACTTTCACTACATCAACAATTTTCTTACTGTGGTTCGTACATTGCAGGAGATCTACACCCTTTGACTGCAAAACATTTGCAACAGGTTCCTGTAAAGCAGAGTACTTAGATATAATGCAGGTGGAGATAATAAATACAGGTTTCGTGGCAGCACAATGCAGCTGAAAGGCTGTCTTTCTTGTAGCAGTGTTTCCTTCCTCTGCGAGTCTCTCTATAGTCTAGACCATGTACGATTCCTAAGAAGTTTTGCATGAAGATAGAAATACTTCGGTATTTTTGAGACCATCTTGTTTCGCACAGAGCTGGTATATTTGATTCTCGAAAAATGTTATGTCTTTTATAGTGGACACTGTGTTACGAATCTCAGCGACGCGATTTAGATCATTCACCACTAGATTTAACCTATAGCTTGCACAATGAAAGAACAGGGCCTTTCTATACTTTTCCCTTATTATCTTCTGTATCCTTGCCCAACACATTTTTGTGGGTCTAATTCTCCTCTTTGTAAAAACTTGTCGATTGTTTCAAGGATTTTGCAACTTTGACTGCTGCCAAATGCCATAGACTTGCAATATGGTTCTTACCGTATTCATGCATATGCTTATATCGAATAAAAGGGCATACAGCGAAAGAACCTTGGACTCCCTGAACCGAAGTAGAAAGAAACATCACACAGTATAAACACGAAACTCCCTTTAAGTGCTTTGAATATACCAGCCATGGTGAATATTTCTCAAGCCAACTGTACTGAAATTTCGATGTCGAGCATGGACCGTGGTGCAGTCAATTTGTAATTAAGAGTTAATTTTTTTGTAAAAAAGTGTAATTATTTCAGAGATTTAGAGAGGAGCCATGGCCTCTCCCTGCCCCTCTCTGGCTACGCCCATGCGTACTACAATACAAATTGATTTAAGCAAGCTCTATAAGTAGATATTTTCTGTATAAACAAAACAAGATGACATTAAAAAAAAGAATGGATCAAAAAATTGTATCAAATGAAGTAAATCATTATTTTTTTAACGAATGTTCAAATAGTCGACTATTATTAGAATAGTCGACTATTCAAATATTCGACTTTTCGGCTAATAAATTATGAAAATTATTCGAATTTCGAATATTCGATTATTCGACTATTCGAATTATTCGAATGCGATTCCGAGCCCTCTCATCTACATAGTAGATGAGTCCGATGAAGTGGAGGAAGATGAAATATAACTACAATAACGAAAATATTTATTTATTTAAAGTACTTCTAAAGTGTGATAATACTGATAATAAATAAAATAATAAAAACTTCCTACTTATTATTTAAAATTTTAATATTTTTGACCACAATAACTGTCAGAATAGTGTCCAACAACTGCAAAAATGGTCTAATAATTGTTATTTTTGCAACTAAATCATAAATATTTTTTTCTTTGAAAAATAAAATTGCATAAAATAATTTGACAGATACTACTGTAATTTACACATTTTGGGCTACTACTATCCGTGCAAAAAGTCAAGGCCCCTCACTTTAGAGATCGATATCTTCATAACCGCTCGATGGAAAAAATTGGGGTAAAGTTTATTGTAATCAGTGAACATTTCTGCGTATCACATGTTAATTTGGAAATTTTCGGGTCCGCGATTTTTCTTTTATCACGAGTTAAGTGAAAAAAGTACCCGATTTTTGAAAGTGCCAGCAACCTTGTCTATTTTGCGATTTTTTTTCTCCAAAACTATTTGACGAAAAAAATTCAAATTTGAATTGGTGGTAAACCGATGTGTTCTTAATGTGGGGCATATTTTATTTTTTCGATATTCCATATAGTTTCGCGGAAAATCGTAGATTAGTAGGATGCGGTTATTTCGAAAACCACCTGGCGGATTTCAACGCTGTTTTTACCAAAATATGTTAAATAATGTCGGTTGTCGGATTCCATTATGAGATTTTCAAAATGAGGACTCCCTAATATTTTAAGAGCGATTTAATGGAATTACAAATTAAAGAGAAACAGAAATAAGCTATGCGGGGAGAGAAGGGTTCCGTCCAATCGGAACAGATGGTTTGTCCCAGACAGTACGTCGCGCCTTTATCTTACCTACATAAAGAAATAAGGCGCGACGTCCTGTCTGGGACGCACCATCTGTTCCGATTGGACGGAAACCCCGTCACCCCGCAGAGCTTATGTCTGTTTCTCTTTAATTTATCATTCCATTAAATCGCTCTTAAAAAATTAGGGAACTCTAATTTTGAAAAACTGACAAGGGAATCGAATAACCGACATTATTTGACATATTTTGGTCAAATCAGCGAGGAAATCCACCCAGCCGTTTTCGACATAACGGCGCCTTACTAATCCGCGATTTTCCGCGAAAATGTATGGAATATCGAAAAAATAAAATATGCCACTCATTAAGAACACACCAGGCGAGAAAAAAAATTGCAAAGTTAACAAAGTTGCCGGTACCGTAAAAAATCGTGTACTTTTTTCATTTAACTCGCGATAAAAGGAAAATCGTAGATCCGAAAATTTTCAAATTAACATATATTACGTAGAAATGTTCAGTGATTACAACAAACTTTGTCGCAATTTTTTTTATCGAGCTGTTGCGAAGATATCGATCTCTAAAGTGAGGGGTCTTGACTTTTTGCACGGATAGTAGAAGGATCATTTTTAGTGCGCATTTACTAGTCTTCATCGATCTGTAAATTTTCATAATCAAAAATTTTCTTAAGTGTCCAATAACTGTATGGTTTACCCTAATTGAGCCTAACGTGCTGCTTTCTAAGTGCAGTAGCAAATCTAAAGATCTTTCCGGCATCTTTGTTTATGTTCGTTGAACGCGAGAAGATGCTCTTGTCAGATACCGGGTAATTAACACTGTTTTTTTAAACGATTTCCGACTATAGAAGAAATTACCCAGCTTTTGTATGCACGCTTTTTACTCTTTGTCGGCAGATAACGTTAATTGAAACCGTACTTAGAATGTATGTCGACGTGCAAATGTTAGACGTCGACAACGAAAGAAAAAAAATCAGAAAATAGCCGGATATTCAGGACGAAGAATCTACATACCTAGCGATGCGATATGCAAAGCTGTGTTGCCTTTCTTGGTAGCGGCGTCAACGATGGCTCCTCGTTTTAATAGTTCTTTGGCTACGTCCACGTGACCGTCTTTCGCTGCCAGGTGAAGGGCGTTTAGGCCGTTCTATAGTGTTAAAAAGAAGGGTTTAATATTAAGTCGCTTAATAAAGGATTGGAAATGACGCGAGGGGTGTCTGGCGGGTCCAGAAGGCTTCGTGAGTGCCTCTTGAAAAATTCACGCGAGTTTATCTCCCCGGTTTTAAAACCCTTCAAAAACATTTTACGGTCACGTTCGGAAATGACGTTATAAAAAAAACCAGACAAATTCAATCTCCGGAAAAAAAGTGAACAAAAAAAAAACTTGAAATTACCGCATTGGATGTATTGATGTCTCGAACCGTGCCCGAGTCCAAGTACTCCTGTATTTTGTCGAGTTGTCCTGCTCTGGCTGCTCGCAGGAATGCAGTGTTCGGGTCAGTCTGTAACAAAAACAAAAAAATAAAATCGATACCAAAACGTTAACAGGCTTAAAAGAACCTTAAAGTAGATTTTTTTGTTGATGAAAATTACGGGTTTGTAATTGATACGAAAAAGAGGCCGTTATGTGATAGCTTCCTTTTAAATAGTGTGGAGATCATTTAAAACAAAAGGCCGGTTTCTATTCCAAGCGGCGGTTAAGAGAGCGGCGGTTATAAAAAAAAGGAAAAACAACATTGGTCAAGGTTAAGGATAAGGTGAATCATGACACCATACACACCGGTTGTAATTAAACTTGATGAAACTGTGGATTGAATTACGGTTTGGTTTCGGTTTGTAGGTGAATTTCCGGTTAAATATATCTCTTACTACGATTTAACAATAAAAACTTTAACTATTTGGAATTCATCCTTGATACAGTTAACAATAATTCATACGTCGTGATAGTTTTTTCTATTATTATAGTGTACGATACGATCATAACTCAACGGAAATTATACACACAAGTTATTTCTACCGTCACTGTTTGTTATTGTAAAGGTATTTTTACGCAGATTTTTCTGTGCGGACATTTCGTGCTATTCCAAAAAATTTCAAGAAAAAATAGGTTATAAAACATACTGAAGTGGTTTATACTTCACTTTCTCTTACATTTATATATATAACAAAAATATCAAAACATTGAATAGATATTTCTAAATCCTAAGTGTTGTTTAACTTCCAAGGACGATGTTGAATGATCCAGGTATGATGCCTAAAAAATTAACAATACTAAAGTTGAGATATTGATGCCATTTACGATGTTGAGACAAGCAAGGTATAATACTCGAGGATATCAAAGACGATTGAAAGATAATACGGATATAAAGATATCAAAAATATTCCTAGGTGATATTAGGGACGATATTGATTATGAAGACGTTGAGGCTACTAGGAACGATGTTAAAGGATATCAGGGATATAAACGATATCAACGACGATGTTGTATAATGGGGAAAATGTTGCGGAAACCAAGACCAGCGTCCATCATGGCAAACCAGATCTGCCGCAGGCTCCTAGGAAGGAACTGGGGTCTCAAACCACGAATGGCTCATTAGGCCCACGTAGCAATAATCAGACCCATGGTCGCCTACGCCTCATTGGTTTGGTGGCCAAAAACAAAACATAAGACAGCTTAACAACAGCTGACACAAATTCAGCGGTTAGCTTGTCTTAACATAACGGGTGCAATGAGATCCTGTCCGACGGCTGCTTTGGAAGCCCTACTCGGTACACCTCTCTACTTATATATGTTGGAGGCAGATGACGAATTCGGCCCGTGGCCGATTTATTTAGACATATCGGCATATGTCTAAAGCTGTTAGGTCACATGACGAAAAAATGATACAATCGGGATCTGACCATATCAGTTTGAACACGTCCCGATATATACATTTTCACAATGCGCGGATCCGATCGGAACTACACATAACCTCTTTTGGGATGTTTATGAGGGACATCACTTACGTGCAGTGTGTTTATTAGTACGTTTTACTGTTTTTAGCAGTTATCGAAGTTATAAAGTTTTAAATATAAAGTGGTTGACTTTAAATATGGAAAGTGAAAAATATTTAGTTGAAAAACAAATTTTTGAAACTAAGCTTTTTAAATTAATTGAAAATAGTGGCGCTAATAATTTTACCACCGTACTAACTGTTGAGCATTATTTTAGTATTTTAAATCAAGTAAAGAACAGCATGTCAAAGAAAGAGACGAAGGAAAAACTAAGTTGTCAAGATTATAGGCGTTTGAATAGATTTGAAATTCTAAGAATTTGTGATAAAGAGAAAATTATTGCAAAACGAAAGAATGATGATGTGGTTTCTATTAGGTATTATTGCGATGTTACGGAGGTACACGGCATTTTAGAAAAAGTTTATAAAGATACTGGCCATAAAAGAAGATTAGGAATGGAAAAAGAAATTGCTAAGAAATATTGTAATATTCCCAGAAGTGTCATTGAAGAGTATTTGAAATTATGTGCTATGTGTCAATTAAAGAAAAAATCGAAGCAGAAACGATTAGTAGTAAAACCAATAATTTCTACAGGATTTAATAAAAGGGGACAAATTGATCTTATTGATATGCAAACAGAACCGGATGGCCCTTATAAGTTTATCATAAATTACCAAGACCACCTCACAGTATTTGTGTTTTTAAAACCTCTAAAAACTAAAAAGGCAGAAGAAGTAACATATAACTTGATGGATATTTTTTGCTTGCTTAATAGTGACAATGGCAGAGAATTTGTTATTCAAGTAATTACTAGCCTTGCATATATGTTTCAAGCGAAAATAATTCATGGTAAACCACGTCATTCTCAAAGCCAAGGGTTCATCGAGAGAGCGAACCAAGATGTAAGAGACATTTTAATTACTTGGATGCAGGAAAATGAGACAACTAAGTGGGCAGAAGGTCTAAGATTTGTGCAATTAAAAAAGAATAGATCATTTCACCGAGGCATCCAACGTACTCCGTTCGAGGCTATGTTTGGCATCCCACTTGTTAATGGCTTAAAAGATTCAAATCTTCCGCTTGAAATTGTAGAGAAGTTACACGATGAGGACGACATTTATAGATTAGAAAGCAGTGTTGGTAGAAACATAGAACAGGTAGTATCTGAAAAATCAGATTCAGAATTTCAAAACAGTGATGGAGGAAATGAAAAAGATGTACAAGAAAGCTTTCCCATAAATTATTCCAAAAATGATGATGTTGAGGAAGAATTGTTGAGGTAACCTAAAAAAACGCAGAGAATTTACATTGCTTATTATTATTATTATATGTTTCATTTTAGGAACAACGAAATCCGATTAAAATCAATAAATCAACATCGATCTCATAGTATTGTATGTTTAAAAAAGCAAGCAACAGAAATGTTACAGCTAAGTTGTTCCAAATTCCCAAAAATTGAAAATGGGCAGAACGTTTTAGTTAAGATTCCTGATGTCGACAGAGGACGCTTAGCTCCTCGTAACATTTTGGCTGTTGTATTGTCCGAGAAAGATATTTATACCAACTTGGTACATCAACTGGCGTCTTGGAAAAACTATATGCAAAGAATGAGTTCCAGGTATGTACTTAACTAATATTTTATATATTTAAACGGTAATAAGGTTTTTCTTTTTAGCCTTCTTAAACGAACTCATTGACATCTTCAGATGTACCCATCGAAAATAAACTCAGTTTGCGAACGGTGGCAGCAAAAGAATCAAATTCTTCCCAGGGGTTTGTAAGATGCAACTGTAGTAAACAGTGCAGTAATAAAAAGTGCAAATGCTTATTAAAGAATTTGAAATGTAACAGTAAATGTCATTCAAGTATTTCATGTCGCAATAAGTAATAAAATAAATATTATGTTAGTTCCTACATTTCGGGATATGTTTAACTGCTAATAACAGTAAAATACACTGCACGTAAGTGATGTCCCTCATAAACATCCCAAAAGAGGTTATGTGTAGTTCCGATCGGATCAGCGCATTGTGCAAATGTACATATCGGGACGTGTTCAAACTGTAATGGTCAGATCCCGATTGTATCTTTTTTCGTCATGTGACCTAACAGCTGTAGACATATGCCGATATGTCTAAATAAATCGGCCACGGGCCGAAATCGTCATCTGCCTCCAACATATATACAAAAGGAGGCAGCCTTAAGTGCCTTATCACTGAAAACAGTTTCTTCACTCAAGTTGATGCAGGGTAACCTCAGAGGACACCTTGAGATCCTCAAGGACCCATGTCTAAATCACCTGATTGAAATTAAAACGGACCTCATACCGACGGAATACAATTTCAACCAACCGTATAAGGTCATATTTAGTAGAAGGGATGATTGGGCGTCAACTAAAAATAGGAGCCCTAGCCTGGTACACCGATGCTTCAAAGACAGTAAGATCTGGAGTAATCATGGGCATCAGTGGACCAAACAGCCACATCAAATTGCCCCTCAGCTCGGACTTAACAATTTTCCAAGCAGAAGTTCTTGCTATAAACTTCTGCACCGCTTTGAACCTACAGAAGGGACAAAAAGGTGCATCCATAAACATTTTCACAGACAGTCGGGCCGCCTTAAAGGCAATTTAGGCGTACACGTGTGACTCCGCACTGATCAGAGAGTGTACCAACAAACTGAGAGAACTCGCTAGGGGCAATGATGTTACCCTATGGTGGCTGCCAAAGCCAAAGCTGGCCAAAAAGGCAGCAAACACGTCCTTCATTGGACCCCAACCTGGTTGTAGACTACAAAAAAGCCACCTAACAAATAATCAACAACTGGGAGGTTTCAAAGATAGCCTTACGCTGGAAAGAACTTCCAGGTCACAGACAAGCGAAGAGTATGATAATTCCATCGCAAAACAAAACCAATTTTATACCTCAGCAAAGGGGATCTAAGAACGCTCTCAGGCTACCGACCGGCCATGCGCCCCTAAAATACCACCTCTTCCACATTGGACAAGCTAAGAATCAAACTTGTCGACTATGTAACGAGTCAGAAACTGCTGAACATATACTGTGGAATTGCGTCGCCAGAACCCGTCTAAGACACAACGTCTTCGGTAAAACTCCCCTGTTACCTACCGACATAAAGGTTCAAAACCTCAGAACAATACTAAGGTTCATTAAGGACCTACATTTGCCCTAAACCTTTGGAGGGCTAAAGTTACAATAGATCTTATAGGTCGCGGTAACGAGAGGGGCCGCTCTCCTCAGCCCGGCAGCAATAATAATAATAAGACACACATAATTAAGAGTGTTAGGAACAAGTCTCGTGCTAAGATGATATTTAAAGATATGCATATTAGATGCAATAAAGAGGAAATTGGAAAAGATGTTAAATGAGATCAGGACGGTGTCATCTCTCAACTTTGGTATTGTGGNCTCATTGGGCCTACGTAGCAATAATCAGACTCATGGTCGCCTACGCCTCATTGGTTTGGTGGCCAAAAACAAAACATAAGACA